GCCGCCGTACCCGCGCGTGTGCCAGGTCGGGGACCCGGCGCTGCGGGCCGTGGCGGGCCCTGTGGACCCGGCGCAGCTGGCGGGGCCCGAACTGCAGATGCTGGTGCAGAGGTTGGTGCAGGTGATGCGGCGCCGACGCTGCGTGGGCCTGAGCGCTCCGCAACTCGGGGTGCCGCTGCAGGTGCTGGCTTTAGAGTTCCCCGAGGCGTTCTTCCGCGCCTGCGCGCCGCCCCTGCGCGAGGCCCGCCAGATGGAGCCCTTCCCCCTGCGCGTGTTCGTGAACCCCCGCCTGCGGGTGCTAGACAGCCGCCTGGTCACCTTCCCTGAGGGCTGCGAGAGCGTCGCCGGCTTCCTGGCCTGCGTGCCCCGCTTCCAGGCCGTGCAGATCTCAGGTGCGGAGGGGCCGGGGGGGGGGGGTCGGTGGCTTTGGGGCGGTTGGATAAACGCGTGCGTCTCTTACCCCGCCTATGGAGGCGGCGACCTCGGATCCCATGAAACAGTTTTCGCAAAGCTCCAGTAAAGCGCAGACTTGTGAAAGTGTAGGCTCAGCGAAGCCTCCCGGCAGAATCCTGGAGTGGACGTGATTCAAGACTGACCGATAGGGATGGGGAATGGCGGCCAGTGTGACAGCAGAGCCAGCTCCTCGGGGGCGTGGTTTGGGCTGGGAACGCGGCCTAGTTCCGATGTTGCCGCACTCCCAAGTCCTCTGCTCTGTGCCCTCTCGCTCGCTGTCTCGCACAAATACACTCTACCCAATTGGAGCCATCGTGGCGGAATGGGAGAAGTGGCACCCAGCTTTGCCCAGCCCGGGGTGATAAGCCACAGGACGTTTTGTGTAATCTGATTTGTTGCCGGAGTTGGAATGATTGTTCCTCTTGAGTAGGCCACTTGGTCCAGGTCAGAAAGTAAATGGTACCCCTTTATTTTGTAGTGTACCAAGTTGAAAGACTTTTAGGAATTGAAATAAATCAGTAGTATATCAGAAATGGGAGGAAATGTTCAGAAATGAAGCACCTTAGGAAGATCATTTCTCATCTCAGCCCCATAGTAAGTCCAGCAACCTAACAGCATTAGAACCACACTGAATACTTGGTAATGTGTAGAGTTGAGGCATCTTTTCTGGGAAGAATAGGGGCTGCTGTCTGCATTCCCTTCTGATGTTGCCTCTTGTCAACAGGAACAGCCAGAGGCAGGGAAAAGGTAAGGAGATTAAAAATGATGCGGTTAAGCATATCCTTACCCAGGCTGTAACTTACTTTGCAGGGCTGGACCCCAAAGGGGAGCAGGTGGTGTGGCAGGCAAGCGGATGGGCAGCCCGTATCATCCAGCACGAGATGGACCACTTGCAGGGCTGCCTGTTCATTGACAAAATGGACAGCAAGACATTTACGAACATCTACTGGATGGAGGTGAATGATTAAAATTTTCCTGCTGCATCTGAGGATTCTGGAAATGAAAACACAAACACTTGGGATTTGAGCTGGGCATGGCTTGCCTGTTATCAACTTGATATTGGGTTGGCTCTGACAGAAAACAGAATTGCCAAACCAGGTTGGAGGAATATATAAAAAATGTTTGCCCTGAAATCATCCATGGACAAAATACTGCCTTCAACGTGAAAAGAAAATGAACTCCCCCAAAGAGTAGACATTTTCTGATGATTTTGTGTGGTAAAAAGTGGGGCAAATAGGGCGCCTGGGTGGCTCAGTTGGTTAAGCGACTGCCTTCGGCTCAGGTCATGATCCTGGAGTCCCTGGATCGAGTCCCGCATCGGGCTCCCTGCTCGGCAGGGAGTCTGCTTCTCCCTCTGACTCTACTGCTCCCCCTTCTTGTGCTCTCTCCTTCTCTCTAACAAAAAAAAAAAAAAAAACTTTAAAAAAAAAAAAAAAGTGGGGCAAATAACCACTCCTAGTAGACATGATTTCATAGACCTGTATGATCTATCCCAAAGCCAAGATTTGATAATGACATAATCCCCAAATATCTGAAAGCTATGTTTAAAAACGCAGGTTAAGACTGCGGTTGACTCATCTTCACTGAGTTCTTATTTTTACAAAGGGCTTGTGTGTGTCTTACCTGCAGAGTCCTTTGCCTTGGACAACAGTTTGCTTGTGTAAGTAAAACAGAACAGAATGGCCACAGTTCATGAAGTGTTTAATGACAGTGTTAACATAAATGAGTACCCACACATTTTACCAGGTTCACAAGTTTTAGTCTCCACCTTCTGCCTTTAACAGATTTGGGGATGATTTTCCTGCTAAGATTTCTTGGGCAGCTGCTATTTGGCTCATTCTTTTTGTGGAGCTCATGGATCAGGGCTAGGGGAGGGATGATAGTTGACGAAGCAATGAACCTCTTCCTGTCACAATTAGAAAAGAAAGCAAAACTTGTGCTTCCTGGTCACCACACTTATTTTGGAAAACTAAATTAGCATCACCCTGACCAATGATTAGCCTTAAGACACTGTCAGAGCTTTGCAAGAGGTGAAGGAACTTGTTTCTCTAGATACTGGTCTTGCCTCATTTCTATGTTGAGTTTTGCAACATGGGTACTCTTACCAGAGTTCTCAAAATCCTAGTACCCATGTAGTAAGTCCAGTAAGTTGTTTAGAAAAAACTTGTTTTAAACAGTAGTTAACTAAACGAACCCAGTATGGCTTTCTCTAAACAGGCCACCCTCTGGGGGCCTAAGAGGTCAAGCAAAAGGGAACTGGCGCTCTCTGCATTAAACTTTGGAAGGGAGTAAGAGCCGGCACTGCTCCAAGGTGAGGTTAGATACTCCGCCACTGGGAAAGTCTGTAGAAAACTCTCATTTATACTATAAACATGAATCCTTAGGAAAATGAGGATTTAGTGACCCTCCTTTCCCTTGGACAATGTTCAGAAGCTCCTGCAGGGTGGCTTCAGAATACTCAGAAGCTTCCTTACAGTGCTCTGAGGTTAACAGTCCTTACTGATGCCTTTGTAATGAGGATCAGTAAAATTTGCCTGCAGCTTCCTGACCTGGGGACCCGAGTATGTGGTTGCTCAGAGTGGACCTTGGAGAAAGCCTGAAACTCTCCATTACTGACAACATGAGATTTACTACTCTAACCAAATCCACCAAGGAGGATTTGTGCAACTAGCTACTACAGCCCAAAGCAGCAAATCTGCATTTCTCATAAAATCTCACCCACCTCAGGGAGATGTATCAGGCACAATAACCACACATACAGATCAGCATCTCGAGCTAAGGAAAGTTTTAGAAGTCAACTACCGAAGTCAAAGCCAAGGTAGACAGAAGGTTTAAGCCAGAATTCCCAAGTAGGGAAGAGTGAATTTCAGAGTTAGCATTTAGGGGAGGAAATACCTCTGCACCTGTGAGCCATGTATAACATGGATGGTGAGGGCATGCCATCAGTCTGCGGTGACTTTGGCCTCACATGTGAGTAGGACATTCATCAGCCTGCATCCTGTCACTGATGGTGGAGAGAGGAATGGAGAAGCATGGCATCTGTGACAGCCGTGACCAGAGCTATGAAGATGAACCACAGCAGCCCCGGTTTCTGTTAACCCCTGTGACTTGCCAAGGTGTCTGAGCAGTAGAAAGGAAGATTTTAAAAACAAAGCAAGCAAGGACCTTGTGATTCAAGTAAAGGTGACTGGAGGTAGAGTAAGAAAACACAAGTAGCTAAAATGAAAGAGTGGGGCAGTGTCCTGTGTCCTGTGCTGGCTTCTAGTCCAGCGTTCACCAACAGTAACTGGTGGCTGAGGGCACCTAACTAAAGCGAGAGCCATGGGAACTCCTGAGTGACAAAGATGCCAGCCACGGTTGCTGCCAAGGCGTCACCTGGTCAGGCCTGCTGAGGCACCTGGTATTGAGGCAGTGCGAACGTACCCACACTGGACAGGAGCACCTGGGCCCAAGCCTTCAAGGAACCCAACAAAAGTTGGCTCAATTCAGCCATTCCTAACCAAATCAAAGACCACCATGGTGCAAGGCTACTGTGATCTAAGAGTTGGCCACATCATCAGTTCTGGACAATCTGGGTTTTAGTAAGACCTGGAGCAATAATCACAGCTTCTGGAGGGGGAGGGGAAGTAGACCAGCCCGATGGCAGGCCTTTTGTGTATTCGTGTGCACACAGTTAAGCAGCACAGCCTCCTACTCAGCATTTCTAGGGCTGCCAGCTCTAGAGCCTTCGAGGGGGGCGGGGAGGGGGTCTCGAGATCAGGAGTCACAAATTCAAATGGCCACAGGGGCTAGGCAGGCAACCTGGAGGACTGAAGCAGTGCATGTGGAGATGGGTGAGCTGGAGAGAGTGTTCTGCTTCTGAGCAGGGCAGCCCCTCTGGCTGTGGCCGACAGGCTGCCTCATGGGGATGCAGGCCCAGCATTGCCTAATCTCCCAGAAGCCAGAAATCTGCATTTTCACATCAACTCTTGATTTTTCAATGTTGGCAGCAGACCAAACCAAACACAGCTGCAGGCCATGTCTGGGCCACAGGCCTCCCAATCTGCAGGAGGAACTGTCCAGGTGCCACATGTGCAAGGCCCCGGGGTGGGGGTGGGGGGGTGTCTGGCCAGCCTGACTGGAGAACAGGCGTGGGAACTGTGGCAGGTGACAATACCCTCCTCTGATGAAGAGAAGAGTGCGGAGAGAAAACCAAGGGGTCTTTCTAATGGAAGCAAGCATGGCCTTCAAGGAGCCCGGATAAGAATCAAAGATGAGATCACTCAGGTGGCTCAAGAGGGAAAAGGATTTATTAGCCCATTTCCAGGGCAGGGAGCCAGGGGCAGTGGCGGGGTTCAGTGTTCCCACACTGAGAGGGAAGAAAATGCAGCAGTAAAACCCACCTGACTACCTTCACTCCTTCTGAGCTAGAGCTTTGTGCTCACAAAAACCACCCTCTCCTCCTGCAGGGGACACATACGGCCCGGGATGCTGACCTAGGAGGGTGGGAATGGCTTGGTTTTACTCTTGGCCTTCACAGGCAGGGCTTGGGCTGGCACCCCAGGGCATCAGCCATTGTGTTCACAAGGAGTAAAATTCGGGTTAGAAGGGACAGGCGGAGGGAGCTGCAGGCCATCCTGAAGGTCTGCGGCAACCCCACAGTACGGGCTGCTCCCACTCCTTGACGCTTCTGGGAGATCTGAACTTTATTTATAAACAAGACAAAAATCCAAGCAGCATTAATTTAGGGGAACAAAGAAAGGTTTAAAAAAAAACAAAAACCACAGAGAGGCAGGACAAGGAGTTGGTGAGCATCCAGAAGAAGAGGAGGAGGAGGAGAGGAAGGAGGAAGGACCAGTACTCCACCCAGTGCTGAATGTGCTTATGTCTCTGTGGCCAGGGAGGCCCTTCCTGCCTGCTCCCTGGCCGGCGGCCAGACAGCAGAGGGGACGCTGCAGTGACGTGAAGACAAGCCCTGGAGCGCTGTCTGGCCACTGACTTGGGGAGTGCCATGGATTTATTACCCCAATCAACCCCCCACCTTCACCGTCACCGAGTGAAGAAATTTTTAACTCTCCTGTCCAAAGTCCTCTGAGAATTTCTTCACTTTCAGGAGGTCGTCTGCATTCACAGTGGGCCGAGTGGTGGCCAGAGACCGGAGCATGTCCGACTGCAAAGACAAGGGCACGAAGCTGAGGAGGAGCCAGGCCCCAGGTCCTCGGGCTCCCCGTGTCGCAGACCCAGGGGGTCCAGTAGGAAGAGGCCAGTGTTCCCGGTCACTCCCAGCCCCAAAAGCAAAGCTCCCTCTGGTTGCCTGGTGCCTGCCTGAATGTCTCCCATGACAGGACCGCTCTTCCCTCCTGGGGCGGCTCATGTCGTTTCCAAACGGGCATATTTCTCGTCTGAGAGAATCCAAGCTCCCCTCACGTCTTAACTCCCGGGAGAAGCTCGCTCTGAGCGCACACCCGCCACCCCAGCCACGCTGGCAGACACCTGCCCCACACGACAGGCAAGGCGTCGGGAAGACCAGGACGAGGAGAGGGCAAGACTAGAGCCGTGAGGCTGCCTGTGCGCGGCATCAAAGCAAACTGCCGACAGATGCCTGCTGCCTCCTTCTGGGCACAGAACAAGCCAAAGCCGTGGAATGATGTCGTCACGCCAGCGGCCCTTTATTCTTGAAGAAAATAAAATGCTCATGCTGTGGCCTCCATCTTGGGCCCCCGCTGAGTCTGTAACAGCAGGATCCCCAGCTGCCCAGCACCCCAAAGGCCATTCTCGGTTTCAGAAGAGCCACGACAGCCCAGGACAGAGAAGGGAAGAAGCCTATCTGTATTTTCAGATCCATGACCCCAGTTTTCTGGGCTCTGTGCAGTCCCTCTCCCAGCCGGCCACTTACCATGCAAACCACAGGCTCTAAGAGTTTGTCACCAGGGACATCCATCCAAGTCATCTCCATGGCCCCTGGGTCCCCTGGTGAGCATGGGGTCAGGAGGTCATCGATCATAACGCTAGGGTTGGTGCGGGAAGGGCCACAGACCTGAAATCAAATGGGAGTTGGGCTGCAGGGGTTGCACCTCAGTGCTTGGGGGAGGGACAGGATGCCTCAGATTTCTGAGTCCTGAAGAGAAGGTGGTGGCAGAGGATGTATGCATGCCTGGCCTTCTAGGTCATCAGTCTGAGAAGAGAATGACTCCTTCAGAACTCTCAGGCTGGCAGTCGAAGTAGCTCAACGTAGGATTTCAGAGATTTGTGATTAGCATGATATTCCAGGCACTATTCTCCAGAATCTCAATTTGTGGCCCAAAGTGTCTTGATATCTTCCTCTTCCTCATTAACTCCATCAAATCTCACCACAAATGCAGTGACATCAAAAATGTTTTTCTATCCACAGTCTGCTTTATTGGCAACATCCCCCCAAATATCCCCAAGGCTAATTCCCTCACCTCCTTCAACTCTTGACTCCAATGTCACCTGGGTGGCCTATCCTTTAAGAATACAACTTGCCCAGGCGCGCCTGGTTGGCACAATCAGTTAAGTGTCCGACTCTTGATTTCGGCTCAGGTCATGATCTCAGGGTTGTGAGATGGAGCAGAGTCCCTTGGGATTCTCTCCCTCTCCCTCTGCCCCTCTTCCCCATCCCACCCCAGCTCACCCTCTCTCTCTCTCAAATAAATAAATCTTTTTTTTATAATACAAGCTGCCCACCCAACTCCAAACTTCAGAAACACCAGACTCCATCCCCTGCTCTACCTTCCCTCTCATCACCCTCTAAGAAATGAGTATCTCAATTAGTGAAGAGGGTCCGATAGGGTAGGGACTTCTGTCTGCTGTGGTCACACGTGTCTCCTCAGGTCCTAGAACAGCACCAGAAGCATAGCAGGACCCTCAGCAGACACTCAATAGAGATATGCTGTGTAAGAGGAGTTCCTCCTTAGAGCAGGTGATTTTGTACCCGCCGATTCTTCAGACACCAAGTGGGGTCCCCACACACAGCAGAGCACTGACTGTGGAGGTGGCAGAGGTGACTGGCATGGTGCCATGTCCTCTGGCTTCACACAATCTGAGATGGTCACATTGAAGCAAGAAGAGCTATAGGGAAAGAGAGAGCGGTGTAACCCCAGCCCCTACAGCCAGAGGGCTCACTTTATACTTGGCCTTGGTTCTCCAGGAGACTGAAGCTATGTCACCGGAGCAGCCAAGGAACTGGCAAAGAAAGCTGATATCCCCATTCCTGTAACACTTTCTAAGCAACTCCCTGCTGGCTCCACTTACCTTTTTTTTTTTTTTTTTTTAAGTAGGCTCTACACCAGGCTTGGAGCCCAACGTGGGGCTTGAACTCACAACCCTGATCAGATCAAGACCTGAGCTGAGATCAAGAGTCAGATGCTTCACGAACTGAGCCACCCAGGCGCCCCTCCACTCACCTTTTTGAAGTGTGTTGCTGAATGAACTTTTCTGACAGGCTGCATGAGGGAGTCCCGCACAATGATGCTGATGTCAGCACCTGAGTAGCCTTCCGTCTTCCGGGCCAGCTCGTGGATGTTGGCATCCGTGAGGTTGTGGGGAGTGCTCCCCAGATGCAACCGGAACATCTGGGCACGGGCAGCCTCCTCAGGCAGCGGAATGTAAATCCGCTTTTCAAACCTAGAGAGCCAAGCACATGGCAGGTCTTGAGAAGAGATGGCCTAAGAGTCTTTGTGGAGAGGGCCGCTGGGGCCCTCCAGAAGCTGGCTTCACTGAGGACTCTGCTCAGCCTGCAGACATGAAGAGGCCTCTGGGCAAACGGGGTCAGGCTGCACCCACGGCTGCCAGCAGCAGGCTGACTACAGCTGGAGAAAGACCTCAGCCCCTGGCTCCTACTGGGAAGACTCACCTCCTTCTAATGGCTGAATCCAACACCCAGGGGATATTTGTGGCACCAAGAACCAGAGTCCCATCGTTGTTATTCCCCACCCCTGTGGAGAAAGGGACACACAGACACTGAGTCAGAACACCTGCAAGGATCAGGGAGCATCTGGGGGAGGTACCTCAGGGCCTTTGTGTGTTCTGATCTGGGGCCAGCCCCGTGCCCCCACCAGCAGGGCCCCAACCGGCTCTGCTGGGCCAAGAGCCTTCTCTGAAGCCCTGCTGGCCTCGGGAAGGGCAGAGGGCTCGTGGGCAAAGGCTGGGATAACCTCTCTGCAGGCCTGTGGAGAGGGAGCGGAGAACGGCTGCACTGACATTTTCTCTCCATCCTAAGGATCATCGAACCCAGCCGCAGCTAAACAACGAAGCCCTGCGCTGGCTGCAGGCGGACCGAGAACCAGGGCGGGCACCCAGCACTGGCACGCACCCTGCATCTGGACCAAGAACTCTGTTTTGATCCTTCGGGCAGCCTCGCTCTCATTTTCATTGCGGGACCCGCAGAGGGAATCCACCTCATCGATGAAGATGATGGAGGGCTTGTGCTGCCTGGCCAGCTCAAACAGGTTCTTGACGAGCCTGTGAAGGTGACAAGTGGGGCTGGGATCAGGACACCCACACCCAGCCCAGCCAGGGGCCCAGTCCCTGTTTCTCTCTCCCTTCCCACAGGCAGGTCAAGCCTCCAGTCAGGCCTGGATTTCAGACAGTGGCCATCACAAATCCGCTGGCAGCACGGTACCATGAGCAACAGCCAGCCTCAGTGACAGCCCAGCTCATTAGCTCTGGATTTAGGACAAGTCCCTTCCCCTCCGCCTAGCCTCAGTGTCATCCTCTGCACAACGGGAGTCGGTGTGGAAAATGCCTGAACTACGTGAAGTCCCCAACAGAGGACACCCACCCGATACCCAAAGACTGTGAGTGCCTTTGCCTTCCGTTCATGAGGGCTCCTCTCCCCCAACCGAGTGCCCATTCAGTCTCAGCAGGCTCTGTCAGGACACGGTCCCACCCAACAAGATAGCAGAATTCCCCTCCACTGGCTACTTCTCCCTGACGCCCACCAACGGCTCCTCTGGGCCGTGGCTCATGGGCAGGGAAGCAGGCCTGGCAGCTGACTTACTTCTCACTCTCCCCCAACCACTTAGACATCAAGTCTGAGGAGGACACAGAGAAGAAGGTGGAGTTTTTGGCCTCTGTGGCCACCGCTTTGGCCAGGTAGGATTTCCCTGTGCCAGGGGGTCCAAAGAGCAGTATCCCTCGCCAAGGTGTACGCTTGCCTACAACAAAGAATAAACTGAGGTGAGCTTCCTCCTGCCTGGGGAAAGGGAACAGAAAAAAGCAGAGGGGACTTAGTTACTGTAAGTACGGACAGAAGAGCAAAGTTCTACAAGACAACTGGTTCTAGAAGCAAAGGAATAAAGGGACCTGAATTACCTGCTTAGAGCCTGCTCCTAGCCCTGGCTCATGACCCCCAAAACCTTGCAAAGTGACACTGGCTGGCACTGGTTCCTGACCGTACTCACCCACCGGGATGGTCAAGTCAAAGTTCTAGTCGCAAAGGTGTTTCTGACACCAGAGCGGAGCCAAGATGGTTGTGATGGGTAGACCCTGGGGCCTCTCTTGACTGAGAGCCCTGAGAGGGAAGGTTGGGCCCTCACCACCAGAGGGCCCATAGAGCTGAGTGGTCACCTGCTCCTGGACACCTTCAGAGTGGGAGCCCTGGGCTGGCTTCCTGAGAAGCCTGCTCTTTTTCCATCTGGGCCTAAAGTAGCTCAACTCTTACCTGTGAACAAGTGTGGGAATTTAATTGGCAAAATGACAGCTTCTTTGAGGGCCTCCTTGGCCCCCTCCAGCCCAGCCACATCACTCCATCGAATGTTGGGCTTCTCCATCACAACAGCACCTGCAAGAGGCAAGGTGAACCTTCCACCTGGAGTCCGACTGATGAGTCTGAGCCGACCCTCCAGGGGCCCTCGCCACATCCCGCTCCCACTGCCACGGGGCCGCGGGCCTCTTACCCATCAGTTGTTCTTGCAATTTCTTTTTCTCGGGATTATCCCCTTCACTGTCACTATCACTGCTGGGAAAGGAGACAAAGACGACAGACTAAAGCAAGAGGCAGTCGGCAAAGAGGCTCTGAGAGCGAGGCCAGGCTCTGAGAGCGAGGCCAGGCTCTCGGTCATGAGCCGCCTGCCCTGCTCAACAGTGGTGACAGACCCACCAGCAGGGGCCTCAAAGATGCTCAGACCACCTGTTAGCGACACTCCCCTCTGCGTCCTCCAGGAAACACTCCCGGAACCCATCCTTGTTTCTTCATTAAGGGAGTAAGAACAGAGACATGTGCGTCCCCAGAAGGCTGGTGAGGGACATGTGCTTTGGGGGGACTTCAGGAGCAGCTGGATGGGCAACCGGAGCTGTCACTGGCCTTTCACACAGATTCACAACCAGACAGCAGGTGGCTGTGACTCGGAGGAGAGGGACGTTTAAAGAGGGGAACCTGGGGGCGCCTGGGTGGCTCAGTCGTTAAGTGTCTGCCTTCGGCTCAGGTCATGATCCCAGGGTCCTGGGATCGAGCCCCACATCGGGCTCCCTGCTCCGCGGGAAGCCTGCTTTTCCCTCTCCCACTCCCCCTGCTTGTGTTCCCTCTCTCGCTGTGTCTCTCTGTCAAATAAATAAAATCTTTGACTTTGGAGGGGGACACAGAGGCCCTGCATGTGGGTCCAGTCTCCATCCAGTGCCAGCTCCATGACCTGGGCCACGTCTGAACTTGAGTCTGCTGCCTCCTCTGTCAGATGAAGAGAGTAGCTCCGAGCATAAGAGCAGCTGACTCCATCCTTCCTGCGCGCCCCACTTTACTCTCGGGGCTTTACCCGCATCATCTCACCCGCTCCTTAGGGCAACGCTGGGCGGGAGGGGGCGTTATCCTTCTTCTACAGATGAGGAGCCTGGAAGCACAGGGGGTCATGGCACGTGTCCATGGTCACCCGGCCAGGAAGTGGTGGCGCCGGGATCTACCCTGAGAGCCTGACTGCGGAATCCCAGGCTTGTAACCTCCCTGCTGGCTCGCATTTCACTCGCAGCTTTTCTGTGCGGATCCAGCGCGGCACCGTCCGAGGCAGTACTGTGCCCGGTGCCCGGGGCGAGCAGCTCAGGGCGCTAGCATGTGAGTGGCAGCCCCCCGAAGAAAGGCAGCATTAGTACCAGGAGTGACAGCACCAGGAAAAGGACACACGTTCATGGGGTCTCTGGTCCTGGCCGGCTCCTCCACTCCTCTGTACTCACCCCTTGCTCTCACTCTGATTTTCTTTGACTGGCTTCTTGCCATGCTTCTCTTTGCTTCGTAAGTAATCCTTCAGCTTCTCCGCCCGGTCTAGGTACTGCATGCACTTGGCTCGAATGCTCTCCTTGGCCTTTTCGCTGTGTGCCTCATCTGCAAAAGGGGAATTGGAGAGGGTGTGCGCACCCTGCTCTCCAGGGGCTCTGCAGCCCGGGAGGGCCCTGCGCGGGACTCACATTTGATAGCATGTAGGAAATACTCCACAGCATGCTGGTAGAGCCGGAGTGCCTCCTCGTAATTCTTGGCTTTATCCTCCTCCGTGGCTTTCGTCACCAGATCAATGGCTTTCTGGAAATGCGAAGCAAATACCTCAGTGCTTCCCAAGAGACCCAAAAAGCCCTTGGGGTCCCAGGGCAGCAGGAATCCTGCAGATCTGTTAGTCACACACCATTATGTCGGCCTGTTTTTCCAACATCAACTAGAAAGGCCTTGAAAGGAAGCCGTAAAAGACAGCCATCCCTCTTCACAATACACTCATACGGGTGAAAACAACCTCCTTCTCCATTTCACTCTGGATTTCAGTAAGCGGAAACCTGACCAAATATCTCAGGTTAGGGCTCAAGGGGAGAATCCACTTTCTATTCCTTGCGTGGACCTGGACCCGGCACCTGGAACGGGAAACACCACAACTGATTGCTGTGCGGCTCAGCATGAAGGCCAGGAACCGCACTTGACCTCGAAGGCCAGAGAAGAGCCAGCCCTGGGTTCTACCAGACTGGTCAAAGGGATCTCTATTTCCTCCTACCGGCCCAGCCTGCTTCTCTGTGGGGAAAAAAGAAGATGGTTTTCCTAAATTGAGCTACTTAGGGAAGGGATGCTTAGACACATGGGTCAGTATACCAGTAGCTCTAGTAAGGAAAGTGCTTGCTGGCACGCCTGGGTGGCTCAGTCAGTTAAGTGTCCGACTCTTGGTTTTGGCTCAGGTCATGATCTCAGGGTCAAGAGATCAAGCCCTGCACTGGGCTCCGCACTCAGCAGCGAGTCTGCCTGAAGATTCTCTCCCTCTGCCCCTCCCCCACTGGCATATGCACACGCTAAAATAAATAAATCTTTAAAAAAAGAAAAAAGCAAGAAAAGGGCTGGCTTACTCCAAAGACATGTATGTGCTGCCAACTGAGGGGAATGGTCCTCTGGCATCTTCTAAGAACTCCGTGAGAGTATCTTTGTGAATCTCACAAATCCTGTAGGCCTGTGCTCTAGACCGAACTCAAAGCAGGCTGGATCTTTCAGGCAGCTGCCCCACACCTACATATCCAGTTTTAGAAACCACGGCTTCACCAACCCAGGAAGCGCTACCAGAATTATCCTCCTCAAGCTGATCAGCACTAGATACCAGGCTGGCAGATCCCACTGTACACACACAGTTCCGTCCACAGCAAACAATAAACCTCCTGACCAGCTCTTGGCAGGGCTCAGGCATTTGTGCAGCCCTTCCTCATCTGAAAGTAAGAAATCTCAGAAAGACACAGCTAGCTCTACAAAACGAACAGACTGAAGCAGGTTAGGCCAGGTTGATGATAAATGAACCCACCAGGTTGCCTAGATGAGGAAAGGCGGAGAGTGTTGGCTACTATTTTCAAGCTCAGCTACCTCCATTACCTACAAATAGAGAATGGCCAGGAGCCCAGAACCTTCTCGAATGATTAGCTTAAACACAAGCTTCACAGGTCTACTCTTCCCCAACGACCCGCTCTTCTGATGAGACAATGAAATGAATTCTCCTGTCCCTGATGGCTTCTCTTCTCCAGAACAAACATGCCCAGTTCCTTGGACTTTTTCACTCTATATGCCTTCTTGCTTGGGTCTGTCCTTTGGAAAGGCAGGGCTCAGAACAATACTCGAGGGATGCTCTGCACCTCCCTCCGAGATACTTTATTAATTAACGCACCTAAGAGCACATTAGATCTTTTTAGCAACTGCATACAATGTTTCAAAGGCAAGAGGCCTCAGCTGCAATATAAGAATAGTTTTGCATAACACAAGGGTGAGGTGATAAATAAAACTGCCAGCCTGCCGCATCTCTAGTAACACATATGGCAAGGATGAGGATGAAGGACAAGTTTAAGGAAGATGTGCTAACAGAGGAGCTGGCAAACTGTAAAGAACCAGATGGTAAATAGGTTAGACTTTCCTGGCCATACAATCTCTGTAGAAACTACTCAACTCTGCCTTTGTAGCCCAAAAGCAGCCATAGAGAATACGTAAATGAAGGAGCAAGAATGTGTTCCAATAAAACTTTATTTATAGACACTGAAATTTGAATTTAATTTTCACGTGTCATGAGATATCTTTCCCAGCCTTTTAAAAACATAAAAACCTACATTATGTTAAGTGAGAGAAGCCAGTCACAAAGGACCACATATTGTATGATTCCAGTTATATAAAATGCCAAAAATAGGGGCGCCTGGGTGGCACAGTTGACTGGGCATCCGACTCTTGGTTTCTGCTCGTTTGGTGATCTTGGGGTCATGGGATCGAGCCCCGTGTGGGCTCTGTGATTAGCCAGGAGCCTGCTTAAGTTTTTCTCTCCCTCAGCCCCTCCCCCCTCTAAAATAAATAATCTTTTAATAAATGAACAAATACATAAAGTGCCCAGAATAGGCAAGTCCATAGGACAGAAATTAGCTGAGTGTTTGCCCAGGGCTGGGAGAGATACAGGATTTGTGAGGTTAACGGTAAAGGGTGTGGAGTTTCTTTTTGGGGTGATGAAAATGTTCTAAAAGTGTGGTGATGGTTGCACGACTCTGAATATACTAAAAGCCACTGAATTGTATACTTTAAATGTGCGAATTTTCTGGTGAGTTATATCTTAATAAAGCTTTTCTTTTTAAGATTTATTTATTTGAGAGAAAGAGAGCCTGAGCAGGGGGAAGGGCAGAGGGAGAGAATCTTCAAGTAGACCCCCTGATGAGCACAGAGCAGATGCAGGGCTCCATCTCAGGACCCTGAGATCATGACCTGAGCCGAAATCAAGAGCTGGACGCTTAACTGACTAAGCCACGCAGGTGGCCCTTAATAAAACTTTAATAGAAATGTAAAAACATTCTTAACGCACAGACAAAAACCGTCTGGGCAGGGGGGATATGCGGGCGAAGTTTACAAACCCCTGTTCTAACAAATCCGAGCTTCTGCTGGTGGATGGTGGGGGTCTGGCTTTGGACTCTAGTTAATTCTTGGCCAAGTGGCCCAGTTTATTCCATGCCTCTGTTCCCACTTTTTCCTCCACCTTCGGATATCTGAATGCTACCCACCCTTTCCGGATCCAGCCAAATGCCCCTTCTTCCATGAAGTCTTGCCTAGCTCCTTCACAGGCTTTGTTTTGAGCACTTACTATGTGGCGGACACTGTGTTAAGAAGGCTTCACCTGAATTACTCAATCCAGAGCCACTGTCACAACGACCCTACAGGGTATTACCCCAATTCACTGACAGGAAACCCCAAAATCCAAGATCAAGTAACTAGCCCAAGGTCACATGCGGGTGAGCGGTAGAGCCACGACTGAAGCCCAGGTCCGAGGCCTGGGCATGTTTCTGCCCGCCGGCCCAGCAGCACGGGCAGCACCTGGAGGATGGGTCAGTCATGCATCCAGGTGGCGCCACCCCAGCACCACCAGGCAAGACCTAGGGAATGAATGAAGGGTCGCTGGCCGACAGGAGGAAATCCGAGCCTGGAGAAGGAGCGGGGACTCGTCCTAAGGGAAGCAGGAGGAGGAGGGAGGGCAAGCGGCCCGACTGCGGGGCCGAGCTTCCCGGGCGGCGCCGGTGCGGTCCGCAGGAGACTGATCCCCGCGGCGGTACCGGGGCGCCGCCGGCTGCACGTAGCGGCCTCGGGGCTCGGCCTGG